CCACTTTATCTGATCCACGGTCAGCAACGGGAGCGCATTGCTGGACTACCCTTGGCAATCGCCATCCACAGCATCTGCAGTCTGCTCCACCCCATTTTTCTGCTGCCTACATGCCAGGGACAAATGGAAAAAACAAACTCCTACACTATACTACTGTGCAGAGGGAAAGGGGGAGAAATTTGTATCATCTCCTCCAATATGCGGGGAAGCAATTAGTTCCCCCCAAATGCAATGTATTTACAAATAAAACAATGCAACCATGTAAATTAAAAAGGTAAAATTATTACCAAAAAAAGACTAAATTATTTGCATTAAACTACCACAGCCAGTTATACGTATTATAGTTGAGAATTAGGATTTTTACACCAAAAGCATCATTTTCTACTAAAGGGCTTAAGGTTTCTCTAACCTCTCTTGTTACACAGGGGAAAATCATAAAATAAGGCTTTAAGGATACTCTTTGATATTCTAGATTTTTGTTTTTACCAATATCTTAAAAAAAAAAAAACCTGAAATTTTCCTACTTAAGTTGACTAATCACGTAGCTCAGAGAAACATAATGCACAAATTCAATTAAGGATAAGAAAAAAAAAGAGATGGCCCACTGAACATCAATGCAACCTATTGAGATGTACAATTCCTTTTCCAATAGGAATGGAAATAAATTACTTCATTTGAATAATATAACCTGCTACTCTGTTTCAAGTATTTTATGCAGCTTAATGACTCTATTACTGCAGTTATGGATCCTGCACACAATACAGCAGGAAGCTCCCTCTTTTCAACCTCTTTGTTCATTATTTTATTTGCACAATTTATAAATATCAACAAATGAAGATTTCACAGAAATAGTGACAGACTAATTGCATTTAAATGCATAAAGGCACACAGAGCAATTTAATATCTGTTTTGAACATATGTGAAACCCCAACCAAGGCCTTTCAGACAACGCAGTCATCAGAATCTTCTGGCACTTTGCTGAAAACAAAAAGCTCAACAGAATTTTCCCAGAAAGATGCAGAACCATTTCAGGCTGTGTTTTTCTAACATGTTCATTCGCCATCTCCAGACAACCACTGTTTAAATATGCATGAGAGAGTATTCCACAGTCACGTACATTTTAAAGACTGGGAAATGCAGGTATTTTAATATACATGAAAAAAATATCTGAGAACACAAATCATCTGAAAAACCTACGGTGACAATGCTTGGTGGGTCTTTTTGCCTTCAATCCTAACAATCCTAAGGTAAACGCTCACCCCTCTGCTATGTATTTATGACCTACCGAAGGAAATTTGCTCTGCTTTGACCAGGTTAAGCTTTACAGAGGCAATAAACAAGAAAAAAATATGCGACCCCAGTGCCTTTTGGTTCATACTTAGGAAGGAAAGGCTCGTCCCGGGGGAGCAAGAGCCCCTTCTTTGAGGAAGGACCCTCTCCACAGAGGCACACAGGCGGGGAGAGCCGATTCGGG